TATTTAATCCGAAATCGAATCCAGCTTTTTATTAGATTTCCTAAACAGCTTTTTTTTTTCATGTTGATGTTAATATTTTTTCCTTAAAAAATACTTTAGGAACTATAGTCTGTTCGTTGTGAAATAAAGAGCAAAGTTCTGGCCTTCAGTATTGGTTTTTGTTGCGGAATTAGTTAAAGCTTTTTCCATGATACAGCAAGCTTTTGCACTAGTTTTCACTATTGTTATTTATTATTATTACTCTTAATATTATTATTATCATCATTGTTATTACTATTACTGCTATTATTATTATTATTATTATTATTATTATTATACCTTCCCTTTGTTGTTACTACTTTTTTAATTCTTCTTCATACCTTCTGTCTTATTATGTCTCTGCGTTCACTAGTGATACATTAAAAAAAATCCACGTTGTTTCTTTTACCGCAGTTTATTCGCAAATACCCAAAATGAGACAAACGTCTTAAGTTCGTTTTAAAAGCTAGAAGAGCACTTAATCTGGCAGATCCTGGCACATTCTTTCAAAGGCACGGATCGAGGCGGTATCGTTTGAACAGCCGCGGCGATCGCCACATTCCGATGTGCTGCTCGCACATTTCTGATGTGTTCGGGATCGTCTGCTCCTTCATTAATTGAATTGCACTGACCGCTCATGCCGAATTTTTGTGGGCATCCCGTGCCGAAAGCGGCAATGCACAATGCGGTTCTATACGCATTCCTTTCGTTTCTGTATCCTGAGTCGTTTAATTTCATATAATTTAAATTATAAAATCGCACGGGCTGCCGTGCGCAGTTTTGAGTTCAGGGTCAAAAGTCAATCTTTCACACCTCTCTCTTATTTTTCTCTTTACAAGAGGGTGAAACACCCGGAAGAAATGCCTTGGTGGCAGCACTTCGAAAACAGTTATCCAGCAATACTACTTTCTTCGGTCCTCCTCCATATATTCTCCCCTTTGCAAAAAAATGAAGCACCCGAAAGAAGTTTCGGTGACAGCACTTCGCCAACAGCAACCACCCGCTGCCACGTCCGGCGATGTTACTTTCTTCGATGGCTGTCTAAAAATAAACAGAAATTGGAATCTGACTTTCTATCATGCAACTAGTACCAATTTGTCATTGAAACAAATTAACATGTTCTTGAGAAATTGTTTTTGCAATCACGATGAATTATCATCTTGAACTTATGAGTAAACGTCACTGGGTCATTAAGTAAAGCCTTGCTATCAATAATTTGGAATTTTTTGCAGATTATTTGATTAACTGAAAGGATAAAAATGCCGTTCAAACCAGTGGAGCATCCGAAATGTCCGAAATGCGGTAAATCAGTGTACGCCGCCGAGGAAATGAATGCGGGCGGCTACAAATGGCACAAATTTTGCTTCAAATGTGGTTTGAATTTTGTGGTTTGAGCTTGTGGTCCTCTGGTCCTCTGCTTGCCATATTCATGCGGCTCTAGCACGAATGGTTAACTCACCCGCCCAGACTGAGTGGTGAAAGTCTTTCAACTTCAAATCGGGAATTTCTAAACTGGGCTTTTCCATCTTTGGAGTCATTTCGAGGATCCTTGGATTGACTATTTCATGGAAAACTGATCAATCACTTGGACAGTACCAGCATGGTATCATATCATCAAAAATGTTTGCGTACGACCAATTCAATGTTTTTTTGCAAGTAGTAGTCGACAGAAAAAATGACGTCTAAGAAGCCGTTCGAAAAAAACGAGTATTGGGAAGAGGCATGCTTTTTATTGCACAGTTCTGTTAAACAAGGCGTTGTTTGTTAAACTAGGGTGCTTTTACTAGTATGGCATTGGAAGATTCGCATTTGCATCGTGGTCTGCTGCAATATGAGGTTTATGCAGCTTAATATCGCATGTGTTTGCATATGAGACATGCGAGGACATGAGAACCCATTTTACGCTTTTGGACCTGCGAATAGTCGGGGCTGTAATTACTAGATGTGCTTTACTGTCTAGTTGAACAGTTTTAAAAACGAACTTCTGTCTGCGTTTTTTCATTTGCATAAATGTGAAAAGTATAACCCCAGGCTACAATGTACTATACTGCCACTGTGTGATTATGCGTTTTTGCACAGAACCTACAGTAGTTAGGTCGTTAACAGTAGGTGTGGTTCCTGCGTTGTAATTTAACATGTTTTGACCTCTCCTTGCATACGGGGGTAAAAGAGCATCAGCTGGGGTGGTAGTATTGCATCGCGGAACCGCATGAACTTCCGGCGTGCACGGTTTTTAATTTTGCACTTAGTCCGGTCGTTTTTCCGGTGAGCGGTGCTT